TCTCTGTGCACCTCCACGTGCAAACATTCTGATTGAATCAAGTAGCCCCTCAAGACTGGTACATCGGCGCATTTCAAATACCACCTACCAGCTAATGTTCGAAGATATCTCAAACTCAATTGATGCGTGCTTCTGTGGAAATCAACTGTTGGTTACACTTAGGTAGATGAATGTACACGGCGACAGCGAGAAGAGAGTGCAGGGAGAAGTTAAGGAAGTGAGAAGCAGTAACCACCAATAACCACCATTCCAGCCAATAATCTGAGTGTGTCCTTCAGTGCTAATCCCGAAATCAAGTCACATAAGAAAACTCCAGAACAACTCTTGGCATATTCATGCGTTCATTCGTTTCATTTCCTGTTGTAGTACATGCATCACGAGTCCACTCTCGATTCTCTGTTTCTGAACGAGGCAATCCTACCTCTAGTTTAAGTAAATGAATTGTAGTTTTACTTGAGTCTGGTTTTCGCTTTCCTCTTGGACTTGAATCTCATTCAATCAATTTCAATTCAGTTTATCCAACTGTGTCTGGCTCACTAGAAAACCCTCCCCCCCACTAGAGAACGAAACCCCTTCGATGCGGCAGAAATGTCAAACAAAGCAACATCTGACTTGATTCAAATTCACGCATTATTTGACATCTGGCTCCGCATTAAACACCCGTACACTTAAGTACACTCAATTTACTTCAAATGACTACCAAAAACAATGACTGAATTCGAAGAAAGGCGGAATGAGGAAATCGACCTGTACATTCATCGACAAGTTTCACGTCAGTATGAGACGCTACACCTTCCTGTCGTGAAAGAGAGGCAACAGGTGGATGAAACCACGTCTAGATCAAAACAGGTGACATTTTAACCTGTGGATAAGTGCGTTTTCCTGTACATCAGAGAGTGGAGCATTGAAGTGCATTTGACATTTCGAGAGAAGAAATATCAAGGAACCACGGCAACGATGACTCCACTACACAGGCTTTAATTGTCATTGCCTTAGGGGTTAGGGCAGGATGAACGCGAGTTCAATGAAATACTGGCTCAAATGTAACCTTTATCCATTAAAGCCTCACGTTTAGGCCTCAAATAAAGCGGGGATATTTTTGTGTCGACTTCGTCCAGTAAAATAGACGCTAGGCGTGCTATGGTATTGTGCTAGAAGAGTTGGTAATTGGTGCACTGCCAATTTTCGTGATAAATAAACTGACGATTCTACGGGTAGACGGAAACTATGAGTGATGGCACACTGAAAATGGACTTGAAATGGAAACGCACGTGACTGCTAGACGATCCTCCACCATCCTATTATTCAACAAACCACACTTCGAGCGAATTGACTTGGATTTTGTTAATGCCCCTTAGAATGGCAACTTCAACGATGACTCGATCCAGCATAAAGCCTAGCAGAGCGACTGTTTGTCTAATGGCTAGAGAAGGTTGCAATTAGGACAGATATCAAGTCGATGTTCGTGCAAAGTGTCACGACACCATGACAGTTCCTTGGAGGACGCTTGACGTTTGGGCCACAAATTGCTTATTGGATGCACACAGTTGAGAGTTCAATTACGACGCCGTCGGCTTAGACAGAGAATACATTGAATCGCTGTGTGGAAATGAGTGTTGGATGCGAAAGGATGTCTAGAACCAAGGCAACAACTGCCCTGCAAACCAATCTACTTGCTGAAGTCAACTGGTGCAATGAATGCTGGGGTTACTTCATTCCTTCAGCTACGCAATCGACAGCAGGACGAGGAGGTGACAGATCACGATTACGTTCGACGAATCCGGTTGATGAATTCTACCAAAAATCTTGCATTCCGTCCACACGTTTTATACGATCCCACCTTAGTCTCAAGGAATAAATCACCATTCATTGTGCAATTTACCTAAACTACTGCAATGATTCCCTTCCATATCCACCCAGTGACGCATCTAAAACACATTTCTGTGATAACGGGTGGCATGCAAGTACTCTGGGTATCCGTTTCATTTGTTTACGTATAAGATTTGTCATTTCTTGGCTCTCAACGACCTAGTAAAACGAAATCCGGCCCTCGATGTCTAAACCTGTCAGTCGACGGCTTCATGCACCGATGCACTCAAGATTTTTCAAATTGGACCAGAAAGTACACGTCAATGTGGGAGCAAGGCACGTGGCCTCTCGAGACTGTTACACCGGCGCACGTCAAATGCCACCTGTGTCAGCTAATGTTCCGTGATCCCACAAACCCCCAGGAACTAGTGATCGATCTTGTCTGCAGTTGTATTCAGGAGGAAGAAAGCACTCAAGTGCTGCAAAAGTAGGGACTTGGCTCATTTTGTTCAGCATTTCAACAGGATAAAGTCATAGGTTGAAATCGTCGCAAAAGAATGTGGGAACCAGTTCCTGTCATTGTACACGAATCACAATTGCATTCGCGCTTCTGGTTGCTTAAATGCGCCAATCAAACGACCAAGTGAAGCGAACGAATTTTCCAACAGCCCTGGCGATTTACATAAGTTTGTTCGCTTTCTCAACTTCTTAAATTCCACCTACAAAAGGCCACCCAGACAAGGAAGCCACTTGGGTGTGGCAGACATCTCCAACAACGCAACTTCAAGTTCCACTTAATTTCAAGCATAATTTGACATCTGGCGCCACACCGAGCTGGCCTATAAAACATTACTACATGGATTACAATTCTTAATAGTACTGCGCATTAATAACTCCCTACAACCAAAAAGAATACGACTTTCGTGTACTCAAACTGCCGACATTTGCAGTTTAATGTTCTGCATGACAGCATCACTGTTTATATTGGGAATAAAGGACCATTTTAAACAAAACTAACAATGCAATAATCTGCTATAAGGGACTTTAGCAGATGTTAAACGGACAAAAGACAAGGGATAAGAACACCCATTCAATAAGCACGGATTGTTAAAAAGTACGTTTGGGTTAAAACAGATTGCAGTGCTGGCCAAGCCAGTAGCTAGCTTGAGAGGTTCCGACGCACAAACCACAGTCCACCCGCTGGCCCCCAGCATTGTCGATTATTCCTCAGCTTCACACAACCAGGTCCTATCCAATGACTTCATTAGAAGACTGTCCGTTTCATCCTCACATAACAAATGCCGACAGGAACCAGGCATTTAAATACCATAAAGTGCTCCGATTTGCTTGCCCTGCATTCACAAAGATGACATGATTGGAGTCAGACTGATGAAACACACGGAGTCCGTTAATGTGTTGGTTGATATTCTAATGACGTAATTTTTGCTCGACTACAAACGACTTGTACCTACATGTCATGTGGTAGGTGGTACAAGTGTGTGATTACGACACCGCCGACACCACCCCCCTGAATATCGTCAGGTGGTGCATGACCAGCACGAATTGGCTTGGCGACCATTGCTGAAGCAAGTCCGCTGCCATCGACTTGTCTGCGACGAACGGCCTCATTGATGCGGTCCACGGTGTGCTGATATCGCTTCCTGTCCCGCATGGCGCATTCCTTAACCTCAGTCAGTGAAACCATATTTCGCAGGTGCTCAGCCGACGACTAAAATGGAATTTTGCCACGAGAGTTAGAAAAAATGGTTGCAATGGAACCATCTTTGCTTATAAACAAATCACCAGTGGGAAATCATTCACAATGGAGGTTCGAAAACGCTTTTCCCTTACACACGCTAGGGGGTTCCTCGTGACCTAGTTCTGCAAGGAATTTTTCCAAGAATTGTTCGCGACATTTTTATTCATATATACAACAGGGACAAGAATCTACGATTCCATATGAAGGTTTCGTATCTCGAAATTTATTTGGACAAAATTCGTGATTTACTTGATGGCATTTTGCTGTCAGTAGTTAGCATTTGCCACATCGTGTCAAAAAGCAACTCATGCGTTCACGAAGACAAGAGTAAGGTGCCTTACGTCAGCGGTGCAACGGAAAGGATTGTTTCGACCCCTGAGGAACTGCTTGATATCACCGACGAAGGGAAAGCCAATCGCGCCACATCTCTGTAGCAAATATGAATGAACATAGCTCACGGTCTCATTCAATTTTGATGATTACGGTTTGCCAAGAAAACCTGGAAACTCAAAAAAAGCTCCATGGCAAGTTGAACCTCGTTGAGTTAGCCAGCAGCGAGAAGGTGTCTAAAACTGGTGCTGAAGGCAGCACGCTTACAGAGGCAATGAATATCAACAAGTCGTTCCCACCTCTGGGTAACGTCTTCAACGCACTAGTTGACAACCATGTAAGAATCCCCCATAATTTTTTTGTCCTAAAATAATGGAACCTGTCTACGGAGGTATATTGTTTCCATGTAGGTTCATGTACCTTATTGTCAATCAAAACTCACACGGATCCTTCAAGAGTCTTGGGGAGCCAATGACAAAACGACCATGGTCATTTGCGTTTCACCTTCGAGTTACAACGAATCTGAGATCAAGTCGACGCTTCTTTTTGGCATGCGTGCTAAGACTATTAAAAACATTGTCACTGTGAACAAGGAGTTAACGGCAGATGATTGGCAACGACGATACGAAGGCTGAGCTTGAACGGTGGAGAACAGGCGAAAATGAGATCAACTGACTAGGTCGTTGCAATGAAACTTGAACTCGAAGAGGAGGCACCAGCTACTCCTTCCGATGTGCCTTCACTACCCTCAACGACCGTACCTACGTCGAGCAATACACCTGCTAGCAGGCCTAGTTATTCGAATGTGCCTTTCACCACAGTGCCTGCTGGTGGCGGCGTTTTGGGAGTGAGTGAAGAGCAGCTGCATGCTCCATATCAGCAGCTCGACGACAAATTCACCTAACGCACTCAGACGATTGCCCGTTTGCGCGTGCGGCTAGAGGAGCAGGAGGAGTTACTTCGGACGACCTGCATGGAAGCAGAGACCAGTTTTACTGACATGGCTCAGCTGCAGGCGGAGTGCCAGCCAAGCAGGGAGGAAGCGAATTACATTTTGCAGGCATTGGAGGCCGAACTCGCAGCATGTGACCGTGAAATTGAGGAGATCAAGGAGCACCTTGCACAGAAGTCCCTCCTTATTAACGTGAATGAAAGCGAGGTTCAGTTGGCCCGTGACGCGCTGGCCGCCCAGAGCAAGAAGTATGCTGAAATCGTCGGCACTCTCATTCACGATGTTTACGATATCGGAGAGTGTATGAGCAGTCAGCTTCAGAAGCCGAATACGGGTAACGGTGAACGAATTGAAACAGATGTGACGGTTATGTATCTTTACATGATCAAAATGATAACAGAGGCCAAGATGCTGCACCTACGGGTGAACCAACTCGAAGAGGGGCGAGTGCGGAATGTGCAGCTTTTGAGGAGATCGAAGGATGAGTACGCCATCCGAGTCAGAGGGCTCGTAGTGAATGTGAAAAGTCTTACGGAAAAAGTGGGTGATTCGGATTATCGCATACAGCAGCTGCAAAATATGGTCAATAAAGCCTAATCCATTGTACCAATATTCGTCCTACTAGGGTTCAGGTATTCCGTGGAGTATGGCGTGCGTGACACCTCTAGTTATTGAACAACGCGGTTGAGATCAGCTCAATTAGTTAACAATGCATTTAAAAAGCAGTACAGAATCGTGTAATACTGAAGTCATGCTGTTGCAAAAAAATACTGCTGTAAGTAAACAAAAGAACTACGTTTAAGAAAAATAGACTTCGATGTGTATTAGATGACCTTAGAAATTTCACCGAGCATAACTAAATAAAAATTATAAAATGAGTGTTAAAGTTTTTAATTTATATTTAAAAGAGCCAAACTTGCTTTTAAAAAAAATATATTACCACATTATTACGCGTTTATATCCTGCTTTTTAAAAGCATTGTTAACTTATTAAGCTAAACTCAACCGCGTAGTTAAATAATCAGAGGTTGATAGTTTGGCCAATGGCTGAGGTTCTTCCCTTCCTGTCCCTCGTAATCCATTTTTTGGGCTATATCCGTCATTCAATTTCGAGGCAATTAATAGAAGTCTCGTCAAGGAATTCGATGAAGAGGAGAGCACTGTAGTACCGAAAAATGAACTCCAAGCAACACAGTTAGCATTCGTGAGCGGACGCAGTTTGCAAGCACGAGTGAACACAAATCAATCTATTTTTACCGTGAATACACTGTTGTGGACAGATAGCCACCGTGCGTGAGTGCTGCGTTTATGCTTGCCCGACTGTATCAATGACTCACCCTCTTTGTTATTGGTTTTTGTTAGCAGTCGCCTGTTACGCACGCGTATCGATACGCACACAGAAGTTAGTTGCTCTCGATTTTACTCGACTCGACTTGACTGGCGTGACGCGAATAAACGGTTTTGTTCCCTTTCGACTCTGCCTTATCTTTTCTCGTGTTGTGACCGGCTGTTATCTATGGGGTTTTGCTGTAGTGTAAATTTGGGCCACATCAGAGTACATAGATCAGCTTTTGTCCCGCGATGACTTGATAGATTTGAAGCCTACCCAGATCCTAAGGAAGATGCGTCAACTCTCCAACGACGAACCTTTGCAAGGTGAATTTTTGAAAGGACTTCTTCTCACACGACTTCCCAGCAACACCCAACCCATCCTTGCCCCTATGGTTGAATCGTCAAAACTAGAACATTTGGCGGATACAGCAGACCTCATATTAGAAGCAACGAAATCGGCCCGCATCTCTGAAATTGGCACAGGTCTTCAAAGACAATCGGATGCATTTTTTACCCGCTGCCTACCCAGGATCGAACCGCAATCGACGCCTTGACAATAAACCGTTCACGAGGGAGAACTTACAACACCTCATTTAGACGGAGCCGCTCAAATTCCCGCCGAAAATCTCCACACTCGTCATCCCGAGGTTTGTGTTGGTATCATGCAACCTTTGGCCGCGCAGCCCGACAGTGTAGGCCCCCGTGTCGGTACGCTGTTTTTAGCCTCTCCCACACAGTCAGGAAACGAAAATGCCGGCGGTAGTGTTAATTTAGGCCTCTACAAGATAATACAGGAGTTGATGGATACGGTGTCAGGGATTCCAGAGGAAGTGGAGAAGGCGAAAAAGGAAGTGCACGCGCAGGTATCAAGCGCGATGGGAGAGGAGTTGCTGCGGATGGAGGAGCAATACGAGTGAGTTGTGTGGATGTGTGGGCTTGTTAGTGGGTGTGGTGGTTGTAGTGATGGGGTTGGTGTTGTGTCAGTGAGTGACAGTTGGTGGATTGACAAGGTACGGTTTATTTGTACAAACCTAACCCTAATGGGTTTAGAGAACGAGCTCATTTGGAGTGCGGTTGTGGGTGAACTTACGAATGATTGCAAACTCGTTGAATGCTGAGCACATTGTGGAAAGTGGCAGAGGTTGCGGTGTTGTGTGCCTGGAATGTTTGGTCGAGTTAGTTGGTTTCGAAGATGATTGCTCGGATTGTGTTGGTTATGTGGTTGGAGATTTATTCTTGTGAGTGCGTGGTAAGAGGTATTTGTTACGGAAATGTGATGACAGGGATTTATGGTGTTTGTTGATTTTGTGGTCGGAGGACGTTGACATAGTCCCTCCAACGTCGTCTGCAACCGTTGTGAAGGTCAAGAGGCGGAGTTTGGTGGAGATGGTGTCAAGGATGGAAGCGAGTCGGACAAGTGACGAGGCGTTGAGTTGTCTTCGTGCGGAGAATTGAGCAACTTGTGTGTGAAGTAGCAAGTATTCATGTAGACGTTGAGAGGGTGGAAGAGGAGAGGAGGTGACTGTTAGTGTCAGTTTGCCGCTGCGCTACAGCACGTGGATGTGATGGTGGTGCTGGCAGGGAGTGTCAGGTAAGAGGAAATTTTGAGTTGAAGGCATTTGTTGAATTGATGCTGCACGTGCGAGATCGTGTGGTGTGGTGGAGGTGTGTTGGTGTCGTGGGTGTGGTTTAATGTGTTGGGGACAGACACCTGGACGTCATAGGTGGTCTCGTCGAGGGCATAGGATGGCGAGAGCTAGTGTGCAGTAGAGTTGGATAGGAGTCCTGTTGTTGGATGCGTGGTACTTTGTGTGGAAGAGGTGAGAAACTGGCATGGTAATGTTTTATTTTTATTCTGATCGAACATGGTCGGCTAATGACGGGTTGATGCGTTCCCAAGGTGTTGTGCTCAAATCTGGGAGTCATTACGACCATCTGTTAGATTGGCTTGCGCTTGCAAGGAATTATTCACGTAGAGCTTTTGGATGAGCTGTGCGGAGATTACAGTGAAGTAGCTTATGACTTGCTAGACCCGGATGTGACGTCGGCAGCAGTGAGGACAAATTTGTCTGGAGGTAATCAATTGCGCGAAGATGGACCTGTGGAATTCGTCGTACTCTGTTGGAACTGAGGACAGACAGGAAAGGGAACGTGTTTGTGAAAGGTATGGGCGTTTATAGACGAAAATGCTGCTGATTGGGAGGGTGAGGAGAGGCCATAGTCCCACTAAGTGTTGAGTGTAGGTGACTAAGTTGAAGGTTGAGTAATTTGGTTTAAGACATTGAGGATTAATTGGAGCCTGGTGATGACGTAAACAAAGTATCTAAAATGGGGTATTTACATGGTGTTTGTGGGTACGTTGTAGGTCTGCGCTGGTTCGCTGTGTCTACACCAGAAGAAGCTCGTCAGCTTTTGATGGTGGGTCGGTGTTGTCAGCAAGTCGGTGCAACGAAGCTGAACCAAATCAGTTCCCGTTCGCACTGCCTGTTTTCGATCAAGGCCATGCGTGCCGCCAACAAGGATAGCCCTCGTTTCGTTCGCGTGAGCAGCCTTACGTTCTGCGATTTGGCGGGAAGTGAGCGTTGTGAGAAGGCAGCAACGCTTAATCAGGCGCATCGTCTGCGTGAGGCGAACAACATCAACGCTAGTCTTCTTGCTCTGGGGAAGTAAGTAACTTGGATGAATGTCTTAGTTAAGTTGAGTAGTGGTGTGATTTGGTGTGTTGGAAGTGGTGGAGTTTGTGTGTGTGGTGAAGTGATGGCGAAAGCCGTGTGAGCTGGAGGAGGATGAGTGTGCAGTGGAGGCTTTTGCGTGTTTCAGGTGCATTGATGCTTTGCGACACAACCAGGAGAACCGGGGCAATCCGCG